TCTTCAACAGTTAAAAAAAATTATTTGAGCATCAAACACTTCATGTCCTGCATTCTTCTATGCTGCAATTTATGGTGGAAATGTCTTTATTTATGTAAAGGAAAATTAAAATAATGGAACATATATGCAGTAAGGTTCGCTCAACACACATGTAGGTGTGTCCTTTTTTGTTAAGGACAGTGACCTCTTTAAATGTGTATATGGCACCTATTGATGTCACATTAATTAATTTTAACTAATTTACAAAACCCTAGTCTTTCATGGAGAGAGCAGACAGAAAGAAACCAGGTCAAGAATTTGTTTAAGTTACTGATCTGGCATGCACGTTTCTGGGTCATTTTAGAATCTGTAGGCAAGGGGGGATTTTTTTTTTTTTTTTTTGCTTACTTTACTTTTTCCGACGATGCACATCTGTTTCTTTTATATTTATGTATGTTTTCTTGTGGTGCAAATAAACCTTTCTCACAGTGTTCTTCTAGAACATTTCTTGGTGCAGGCTATATACCAGGACATTTTTTCACAGATGTGTCTTAAAGAAAATGATGGAGATAAAATCTGTCATTTCATCACAGTGTAAATTATGCTTATGTCTTAAGTCCTGAGGTGTCTCCATGTACGCTTTAACATACCCCAAAACATTTTAACTTATTGCACCAATAGTAAGCCATGTTTTTTATATTCTTACTTCTTAACTACATTTAAAGGGAAGCTGTGAAATTATTTGTTATATAATTATTTGTTCTGTGAAACCATTTTTGACAATAACCTCGACCTTGAGACAGATGTAGCGCCAAATGCCCTGCAGGCTTACTGTACAGCTCATTATTGCAAAACAGGAACAGGCTCAACAGACAGGTTAGTAATGAACAGAATTCAATGGGACATACTTTTTAAGCTACTTTTGTACAGTCTTTACACTGTAGCATATTGTAACATATATTTTAATATATTATATGAATGACAGACTAGTCATTCCTAGTTTATGTGTGTTTTTAAAATCCACTGAGAGCGACATATTCAGAGTGACTTTAACACAATGGGGTTATTTGCATGTACATTATAGCTGCCCTTATAGGTGTTTGCATGAACAAGTTATGCTAACTGCCAGATAGTAAAAGTGCAGCATGTCCCGCACTACTGTGGGTGTGTCACATGTGCATGCAGTGACAAAAACTGGTTTCAAAAGATTTCTGTCATCCGTTGCTATTTAAATCTACTGTCAAGATATCCAAGACTTGCAAATACTGTCCATGTCTGTGCTTGTTTTGTAATTCAGATCCCGATTCTAAAGCTTGATATCTGCAATCACAAATATATGTATGCACAATGCTTCTAATAAGAGTACTGACAAAAAAAAAAAATTCATAATGTTTTGGCTGCTTGCTGAGTTTATAAATACCCCTGATCTCGAACAGCTGGCAGCCATAAACTCCAAATCTAAAAATATAAAGAAGTTTGGCAGAACTTCATCACAAGTGCGTCAAAGGAAGGAATTAGAAAAAAAACAAAACACATTTCTTTTAAATGTCTGTAACACCTACATTTTTCACCCACAAAACTTTCTGCTAGACTAAAATATTATGCAATTTCCTTCTTTTGCATCGCTGAATCTGGACTTTGTTGAGTTTCCATCACTGAGCGAGGTGAGATGGCGAGGAAACACAAAACGCCTGCTTGGACTACTTTACTGTCTCCAACCGATAGTATTTTATTTATTTACTTCATCATAAGGAGACCTTTCTCACTCACCAGGCCATCAGATTTTTTTTTTTTTACCAGCATTCCTGATAAAATAAATGTTTTTAAAAAATACTTGAATTAATTAAACCATCAGTGACACTGCCTAGAAATTGTTACACCAGTTCCATGTAGATTTTATTTGAGCCATGAATGATTAATCAGTATTTCAGTTTGCTTGGCTGTATCTGCGTTTGTTAGCTATAGTGCAGGATAGGCTTTTAAAATAGCAATCCACTTTGCACTGTGTTTGAGTGAAATTGATCAGCGGTTGTGCAGGAATGTATTTGTATATATACTGACTTGAAGGGCAATTATTGAATTGATTGTGAGAGCAAATCTGTAGCTTAATTGTTTATGAAGTACAAATGCGTGGAGGTTTACAGTACAGGGACACATGTACTGTAAACCTCCACGCATTTGTACTTCATAAACAATTGCGTGGAGGTTTACAGTACAGGGACACATGTAACTTCAAGCTGCGCTATACGGTAATTACTTAATGTTTTGAGACTGCTTTAATGGTACATAAATCAGGACTAATGATGTTTAAAAAGGCAGTGATGCATTCAAAAGTGTAAAAAGTTTGAGGTGAATGCAGAGGGTGCTCAAAGCAACAGGACTCTGATAATGAGACGGTGCTTAATTTATCAGGAATAAGTTAAACAATGATATAGGTACAAAATTTTCCACAAGATTGTGGCTTTAGTCATTTAAAAATCACATTAATGTTGAAGTAAACAGAGTCAAAATCAGTTTATGTTGTATGACTAGGCAGCAATTATAATAAACATAAGAATATTCAAATACTCAAATGTTGCCTCCTAATATATTGATAATAGAAGAAATAGAAAGAAAAAAAGAAGCTATGCTATGACAGACAGGCAACCAAATAATCTTGAGCAAATGTAGAAAAGATCATGTATAAACTTTAAAAATTGCCATTATTATTACTAAGGGCTTTAATATTACAATGTGCTGCCATTATGCGTCTTGTTTGTGCAAGTGACATTGCTGCACCCCAGCAGAAGCCATTGCTTGACTGCTGTGAGTAGACAGAATCTGTCAAACACCTTACTTTCAAATGTCTTAAAAAGTGGAAAACTAGAATGTAATATGAGTGTTATGTAGACTTTATCACCCTCGACTGTTACAGTTTTTGCAAAGTGTTAGTTTGTCATAAAAAATGTCGTTAAAAAACATCATTAAAAAAGTCATAAAAAAAAGTCATTGTGTGTGTACTTTATGCTGGCTCCCTAAAATGGCACTCAAAACTTTGAGAACTGCTTCATCTAAGATTTTTTGTTTCAAGATTTGTGCTCTGAAATAGTTAGTTTAGCTGTTGGGTTTCTAAAAGTTCTCCTGGAGAGGGGGGGTCACTGGTACAGTAGACTCCAGTCGAGGTCTGGGTTGCAGAAGGTCTTCTTAATTGTAATGTAATCATTTAATGACTTCACGAACCGGAGGCTTGGTTCACTGTTTTCTACTGTAACTTTGGGAAGAGAGATTTTTTTGGATTTAGCTATCCAAGGTCACAGAAACACCACGTGCAGATCCTGTTTTGAGATGATTTTCGGTTGAAATTAGCACAGCCCTCAGCAGTTCTTTTGTTCTCCCACGCTTTTCTCAAATCAGCCATCGTTTCTGCAGAACGAACCGAAAGCCAAATTATCTTATCTACCTTTCATCTCCCAAATTTTTTCATCTGCATCACATTTTATTTGAGATTAAAGTAGGGCTGTGTCTTTGTGCAGCACTAATTGCCATAGAGCTTCAGTAATTAAAGGACAATAAAGCCTTAGTAGTAATTAGTTTCTCTTGTTTGGTTGCTAGCCCATCAATTGTGCTTCAATAATACTGATCATTAGCATGCGCCTGGGCAGTGAGGGATGCTGGGAAAGAAGCCCTGCACACACAGCACTCCACATTCCATTCCCATGAAGCCATGGCACCGAGCCATGTGGTTAACCCTCCGTGTGCCGGGCGCCTGGGAGAGTGGCAGGCTGTGCCTAACAGTGAAGGCCCCCACTGTAAAGTAAAGAGGTTGCACTGTAACATAATAGACCTGCTGAAATAATCACCAGCCTTTTACATTTCTGGAGGTTGGGAACATAAGACCTGCGGCAGTAGGCAGATGCTGCTGTCACGGTTTGTGTAAAAACAATTGTACCCTTCTCACTGTTACATTCTCCTCTATTCACATCCAGGTTCACCTAATGAAAGCCTGTCTGCAACACTGTTAAGGAGTGATAAAGAGGATGTATTATTACGGCGTTAATGCCCATGCATCCTAAAAACAGATCAAATTAGGTATCTTTAAACAGAACAGCGTCGGGAGGATAAAGAATATTTCTGTGCAGGCTGGATTGTGCTGTAAACTGTGGCATAGTAATAACGCCAGGCAGCAGAAAATGTGCTCTGTTCTGTACTTTGCCTTGACATGATTGAAAGACAATGGTCCCATGGATAGGCCATTTCAACATCAAATGTGCATGCACATCACAGGGCAAGGGTGTGCTATCCATCACATTCAGTGAGCTGTCAGAGGCGGCTCTCACAGCCCCAGCTTTCTCCTCCACACACATTTGCAACTGTATGGCCATACAAGATTAAACCTCCTTGTACATATTCCACCCTGAGCACGTACTTTTAAGGTGCATTGTTGTGTGAGGTTGATTTTGCAATTTTAATTTGGCATTTTATGCAGTTTTTGTACTTATTTTAATCAACACTAAAACTTAAACACAAGCACCACTGGAGACAAAAGCAACTTTATGATTATTGGTGCTGACTTTTCTAGAATTATAAACTCCCTCTAAAACGCTGGGCTTTATAATAATGAATATCTGGCAGAGCTGTGTCCCTTTGCTTTAACCTGCTCATACATTACAGTAAAGCGAGAGGAGTGCAGAGGCCTGTCTGTGATAGGTCTGGTGTAATCAGGCAATCAGGTGACATTAAACAAAGCAGCTTTTATCTATGCAAATGACAAATAAAAACACATCAAAACATGGTGGAACTACAGAGAGACTCTGTGCAACCTCCTCCCATCCGCCTTGCTTGGCACAATAACCCAAATGGAAGCCTTTATGAAGCACTGATGGAAGCAGAGTGCGCTTTATAATGCACAGCCGTGCACACTACTACATTTCCAGCTAATCAGAAGCGCGCAGTTGCAGAAAGGAGAGCGGTTGCCAAGGCAGCCACCAATCTCCCCTCCCCCTTCTCCACTCCGTTCCTCTTTCCCGTTTATTATCGGCAGAGGTCGCATGGCAGAGGGAAGTCCAACCACTTCTGTACTGGAACCAATGCAAGAATATGCACCTCCATAACAAAGCCTGTATGGAGTCCTGAGAGCAGTGGGGGGAGAGAAAAAGAAGCTGCAAATTTATGGGCTGCTAGAAACAGATCTTATACAGGGAGGATCTAAGTTGGAGGTTTGCTTTTATTTGTTCTGGAAAAAACGGGATAGTTTTTCTGTGTTTTTTGCCAACACGTGTGTATCCATGAAATTTGTTGTCTCCGTTGTGAGTGAGTAAGTGTTTCGCATCCTGGTGCGGGGCTGTGAGGAGGACTGCGCATCACCAGAGTTGGTGCCGAAGTTCGGCCGCGAACGGATGTGAGGGAAGAGTGTACCGAGTGAAACTCCCCCACTTGTTTTCTGCCTCTTCTGCTCCGGCGTTGTGTTTGCTGAGACAATAGTGAGTCAAAGACGCTGAAAGTGATTTCATGCCTTCAGTCTCGCACAACCTGAGATGGACGTGAGATTTTATCCTGCGCCCCCGGCAAATGTGGGTTCATGCTCCCTACCGACTGATCCAAGTTGTCTGAGCTCGTTGGACTATTACCACTCGAACAAGGTAAATAAAAACATCACTGTGCCTCTTGTGCATTGAAATGCTTAATGTTCTCTCACCTGTCTTTCTGTGTGCAGCCTGCAACATTCAGTGCATGCTTTGGACGCGTTTCCACGGGCGCCCACTTGCCCCAAACACACAGCTACATACTCTCCAGAAAAAAATTGTCAAGTGTCAGCAAATAAAGTGACCTGAGCCTGGATGGACTGGTTTTAATTTAGTCTGGAGCGGGACACGGGATTTGTTACTTTACTCTGAAACCTGCAATCATTCTATTTCTCTGTTGAAAGAAAATGTGTAGTCCCCAACTTTTTCTCTCCTCTAACCAACATAGTTATTATGTTATTTCCCCGGTGAGATTGTGCAGTTGTGTTTTGCACAAAGCTGGCATTAAGTGTCCCACCCGATGTGGAATACCAGGGGCTGTATAGAATCCATACTGCCCCACTCTGCTCTCTGCTCCAACATTATCTTCCCTCTCAATGATTTCTTATAGCTTACATGGTTTTCCGCTGGGAGTTCAACGATTAAATGGATGTGTGCCAGTAATGTACTGTTAATTACTTTGTAAGGAGAAACCACAGAGCGTGGCTGCTACAAGTATCACTCTTTTCTCTCTCTCAGTTTTGACACCCCGCGGCTTTTGGCTTGTGACCTGCGCTGACTCCATTGCAAGTGCGCAGGTGGCATTTAAACAGCATTATGATGAATATTTTGTAGTTTGACATTTTCCAAGAAAAAATAAATAAATCACCATCCCCCTGTGAAAAACAAGCGGTGCTTAGTAATCCTGTTATAAATAACCGAAGGATGGGGCAACACTGAATCTCTAGATATGCTGCCATAAGAGATAAAAACACCTCAAAGTAATATAAGCTCACAGCAAAAGTACTAATGAGTACCACAAACACATTACACACCCAGTGGAGGAAAACTATTTCAAACTGTTTAATTAAAAGATTTATAGCATCTCAGCCATTTGTAGACACTGAATTAGACCTTGTCACTTACCGTGGCTGGCATATTACAAATCAACAGGCTCTGGATGTTGACCTGCTGCTGTACATGGCGATGGTTTGGAGTTCTTTGGCCCGCTTTCTCAAATAAAGATGACTTTCAGATATGACAATGAGGGGGAATGATAAAAATCACAGTTGGGGATGTTTGTCTTTCACTGTGTGGGCAATGGAAAGTCTCTGTAACCGAATGGAACATTCCAGTAATCAACTGAAAAAGATCATCTCCCAATTTAGATCTTAGAAAATGGTGCAACAATAATCTCTGTTCAGGTTTGGGAGCAGAAAGTGAAAGACAGATAGAAAAAAAACAATCAGGACACAGTTTTATTTTGCGACTCGGCCGCAGATGAATTAATGTCTATATAAAACATTTACTGATAAGGCAGGTTTACACCTGTGACACACAAATGGGCTCATATAACTGTCTCCTCGGCGCAGGCTATCTTTTTTGTAGGTCAAACGAATTAGGATCATCCTCCATGCGGATAATCTCAAGAATATGCTGATATCCACGCACTGCATGAATCCTGGAAACAAAGCCAGTAGATATTAAATGATATAAAGTGCTTTCACTGGGGAGAACACCAGCTACTGTCACCGATACAAAAAGTGTGGCGCCCCTCAAAATTACAAGTGTTCATTTGAATTATTGAAATCCCTCCACTCCCTTTGCTTGAGGGAGAGAGGGGGCTCTTTCCACAAGGGGAAGTATAATTTGCTATCATCACATGTGTGACACTAACTACCTTCACTAGAAATGCAAATGAGGCCCCGGGAGCAGCGGGGATCTTTTGGTGTCCTGTTAACACAGTGCACAGGGTCAAGTTCCTCTCCTCAAACGCTTGTCAAACTGGCTGTGGCACTAAAGAGACATGTGATTTGTTATGTAGGTACTGTATCTGCCCATTGCTAATCATATCCGACAGCCCTGGTTGGTCAAATTCTGCCCAAGTCTCTCTCTCTGAAGCAGTGTGGAGGCAAAAGGCTAATCATAGCATTAAGGTCAATTGTTTTTATGCGCTCACTTTGCATATTCTTGCAGATATTTTGGTTGGTAGCTGAATTTGTTGCTGGATTTGTTGGCTTCTGGTTTCCCTTGAGAATATTCTTTTGGGATAATATTATTGGAAACGAGTCAAAATAATTTGAATAAAAAGAAGCTTTTGGTAAGATGGTTGCAATTTGGCAACCGTGTTGAGATTTAGCACCATTACTCCTCTCTGGCTGCTCCAGTATCCCTGCTAAGAAAAAAAGAAGAAGCAATTTACAGCCTGAGAAAACATCTCTCCTTTTATCGCTGTGAAATTAACAGTGTTAATCTGACTCACACACAAGCTTAATTGGATAAAATGAGCATGTACTGGCATTTTAGCTTTATAGTCTGTTTATTTGCGAACCTGTTTTTTGTGCTACCAACTCACTCTGGATGCTGACACAAGCCTGGTTTGAGTGATTATCAAGTTTATGTGACTTCCCAGAGAGTACGTGTGCTGCTGTCGTGCTTTCAGCCTGTGTCACACTGCTCATTTGGAGCTGTATCTTGTTTCATTCACAACAGTCCATGCATGCTGCTAGATGTTGTCTTCCTTTCACCTTATTCAGTGTGCTGATAATTACGGTGATCACTAATCGCTGCGTGAATCATTTCCCTTGCTTTGGAAGTGGTGTCCATGATCAACAAAAGCATCTTGCGAGGAGGAAATGTGAACTTTTACCAGCCAGCGTTTGTCATCAACTAGTCTTTAAGTAACATGAATCACTCTGCTTGCCAAATGAGTTTGCGCTAAGGCTGCATTCAGCATTTACTGAGAAGTTCAGCACTGTAAGACAGAAAAAAGGTGAAGAATGCAAAGAAAAGAGATGCATAAAATGAGCAGAGAAGGTACTTCAAGTGCAGATTGAAATGATTCAGAAAGATCCATAAATAACCCTGAAGATTTCTACTTCAGTACTTTCAATACTCACTTTATTTCACTGTGAGTGTGCGTCTCTTTTATTACTGTGGTGCTCTCCCACAGCCAAGGAGAAATGACAGAGAATAATACCATTATAACAGCTTTGTGCTCTGATGGTAATATTAAACTGTGCCATGCTTTAATGCTGTCTGCTGCCTTACAGGCTGCATGGTTCATGTATTTCTCATATACACAGTGCAAATACTACACTAATTTTGCCTTATGTATTAAAGAAAGCATTGAAAGTATAAAGATGCATTTGTCTTACACATGTACAACTGTAATTGTTGTTTGTCCGGCACTTTTAGTTTGCTCTGTGAAATGGGAGCACAGTGTCTGCTCCTTTATTTGAATACCTTAATCAAACAGTGCTGACTGCTGGTGGTGCTGCTGCTGCTGCTGCTGGGGTGAGGTGCTGCATACAGTATAGCAATAGAGTGCAGAGAGAGAGAGAAGGCCCTGTGTTTATACACCCAGGCCCCACCCAGCTCATATATCCTCCCAACAACTGATATCTGCTTAGATAGGGCATGACTGAAGAGCTGGCTTTGTTAGTTGGTGGTCTCTTCTGCCTCAGATAAGCTGGGGTATGATGCGCTTCATTTGAATGCCTTATCTCAGTTTTATTTTTTTATTACAGGTCTGTCTGGTGGCTGCAGTGCAAAGGTTTGATTGCTTTGCATTAACATATTCAGTCGGTTTACATCGACGGATCGAGCTCAAGTGAGACGAGCTTTTTTTTTTTTTTTTTTTAAGATATTTTTTCGGGCATTTTTAAGCCTTTAGTTGATAGGACAGATGAGCGTGAAGGGGGGAGGGAGAGAGAGAGGGAGTGACATGCAGCAAAGGGCCACAGGCTGGAGTCGAACCCGGGCCGCCGTTGTACATGGGGCGCCTGCTCTACCACTAAGCCACTGACGCCCCAAGTGAGACGAGCTTTTGACCAAACACTGACAAGTTAGTTTTGGCTTAAACTGTAGGTAGGGATGTCAGTGGTCATCAATTTTTTTGTCTGGTTACACATGTAGGTCTATGAATTTGGTTGCTCTTAAGTGTACTGCTCTGCACACCACCCAGGTTTAGTGGAAGCTAACATTAGCTCGCGGTTGTGCTCATTTGGCAGTTAGCACTTGCTGGGTAGGGACGACGTTACGAGTGCTAATTGCAGAATTAGCGTTACTGTGTAGACTTTGTCCCCACCCCCTGGTCTCCCCCCAGGTTGCCCAGGTGAATAAACATCTCAATTTTGAGATGGCATTGTTAACTACTGTTATTTCTGTTAGCACTGTTAGCAGTGTCAGCACGGCTAGTGGTGCTAACATAGTTAATAATGCAAAAGGGACTTTGCGGCTCAAAATGAAGGTGCTTGCTTACTGTGGCTACCAGGGGGTAGACCGTAGGGTGGCCACCATGACTCCACAGCAACACTGTCCTACCACCAGAATGAGTGTCGCCACTAGCTAGCTCCCACCTGAGCCAGGTGATGCACAGTGCAGGCTATAAGGCTAATGTTAGCTAACCAGAGGGGACTGAAGGGTGGGCAGTGGACACTATGTGTCACGGCCAGCCAGCTGTCTGTCAAGCCATCAAAAAATAAAATAAAAAGTGAGACATGTACATAGCTAAACATTAAAACATCACCCTCTCTACACTTTAAAATGCGATGCTAAAGCTCACTGAGTCAGTGGAGCATCCGAAAGGTCATGTATTTCATGTCATTTTGCTTTTTTTCCTTCAAAATTAATTGGTTAGTTACAGGGGTTATTTTTAGTACCTTGAGTACTTTAACATGATTGAGAAATTAACCAGTCCCTGTAACACCGGCTGTGGTATATGTTCATGTTGAGTGGCGTTATTAGCTAATGGCAAACTCTGTGGTATGTCACAGAGAAGCAGAAAGGGAGAATCAAAGGATGAGTGCAAGTCAAATGGGTTGAAGTAATCAGTGGCCCAGTATGGGGACAGTGTGAGTGTGTGTGTGCCTGTGCATGCTAACTCGGGGCCATTCAAGCGTTTTGCTGACTACGGA